TTTTATTTTTATTCATAACACTTTTTTATGATGAGACATTATGTTTATTTATGGTCTATCCTTTCTCAGGGCAGAGACTCTTGTTATTCACCGCTGATTTCCCAGGGCTTAGAACAGTGCTCTATGAATATTGAATGAATTAATAGAGCAGCCTCTAGAGGAACATTTTGAGTTTCTCTGCCTATAAAAATCTCGAGAAATAGATGCTGATTCTCAAGGTGAAATAGTTGATCCATAGGACTCTTCCACTTTATTTGTACGCTTTGTAACACCATTATCTCATAACACTAATTAATCCCTATTGTAGTATCATGTTTTTAGTACTGTGCCATTTATGACAGACTGTAAAATAGGTTAAATACTTGAGTGCCTGTTGTCAGGCACTTGTGTCAGGCACTGTTTTTTTGTTTTTTTTTTTTTAAAGATTTTATTTATTTATTTGAGAGAGAGAGACTTGAGAGAGACAGAGCATGAAAGGGGGGAGGGTCAGAGGGAGAAGCAGACTCCCTGCCGAGCAGGGAGCCCGATGCAGGACTCGATCCCGGGACTCTGATGTGGGGCTCGATCCCAGGACCCTGTGATCTTGACCTGAGCCGAAGGCAGATGCTTAACCAACTGAGCCACCCAGGAGTCCCTGTCCCAACAGTTTTAATAGAGGAAATTATTTTCATTTAAAAATGGAATTCATGAATCGAGTTGTATTTATAAAGGTACATTAGCCAACTTTTTCCTTAGATTTAACCTGATTTCCTTAGATTTAACCTAATGTGAACTTTTTCCAGATATTTTCCAAATTTGGCACCGTCTTGAAGATTATCACCTTTACAAAGAATAATCAGTTTCAAGCCTTGCTTCAGTATGCTGACCCAGTGAATGCACATTATGCCAAAATGGTAATTATGATCTTTTTTCATTTTTCATTTGTTAATCAGTCACTTCAGTGATACCAAAGAATGCCATCATGTCTTCTCCCTTGTTGCAGTTCATTATGTTTTTAATTATAGTATACATAATATAAAATTTACTGTTTTTAAATGCACTGTTCCATATGCTTTTTAAAATAATAAGCTAAAAATTACTTTCTTCATATGAAATGGTGTCAGATCATTTATCACTTCTCAGATCCTTGGCTCTCATTTCTGTCATATTTAAAGTCTAGAGTGGAGCACAGTATTCCTGATAAAATCTGACTAATAAAGTAGAATTACCTTTGTCTTTGTGTCTTCATTTTCTTCTATTAAATTAGCCCAAAGATTGGTTGATTTCACTATTTTTGTAACCATATTTACTATTGAATTTTGTTGAGCTCTGAATTAGTGAAGATACTACATTTTAGGAAGTTTGCTGCTATTGGTTTATATTGTCTTTTTTTTTTTTAAGTACACGAGTGCTTGACTTTTGACAAGATATAAAATTTCATATTCAATTTGGTTATGTTTGACCCATGTCCTACTGAGATCTATTCCTAACCCTAATTCTGTCTTGTATCAGTATCTGAATTATTTCTAGTTTCTTTTCAAAGATAGGGACTAAGGTTTTTAGTAGTTTTATGTACACTGTCTACCTCTTGATTAGGAATATAGACTTTATATTTGCTGGTACCCTTTGCCTGTATATATTATTTTATACCATTATGATGTACTCATCAGTAACTTATTGAAAGTGTTTTTTGTATATTTGCATTTTCTTATGTGTTTTGATTTCTGATTTCTGTTTTTACAAATTTGAGCATTTGTGGAAGTCAAGTGGTTGATAAATTTTCATTATTGTGAAGGGAGGGATTGCTGATCTTTGGTCTTGTATCAGAACTGACTACAAAATTTCCCTCAGATTATTATTCAAACTATTATAAAATAAATTTACAAGAGGAAAAAAACACGAGATAGAAACTTCAGATGTTGTGATTCTAACAAATTCCCTTTACAAAGGCTTTATTTCATCTTAACCTATATAAAGTATATTAAAAAATTAAGATGAAATATAAAATCACATAATCTTTAAACATTTGTTGTGGACAAAATAATCATAATGATAGCTAGTATGATGCTCAGTAATGTATGATATTTTCCCAAGCTTTTACATTTCTCTTCTTTCATTTGATCTTACCACAGACAAGATAGGGATTATTATAACATTGTGAAAAACTGAGATTTTCTTTTTCTTTCTCTCACGTTCACATAGTGAATGACAGAGGTAAAAGTAAACACAGGTCTTTGGCTTTTAGTCCATTGCTCTCTGCTTTACACTTAATTGCCACTCTCTGTCAAAGTAGAGACTACTTAATTTATCAGTGTTGTTGTCTTGCAAAACATCAGTCCCTTTCTTACATGCTTTAGGCTCTGGATGGCCAGAATATCTATAATGCATGCTGCACTCTGCGTATTGACTTCTCCAAGCTCACCAGCCTTAATGTGAAATATAATAATGACAAAAGCAGAGACTTCACTCGTTTAGACCTTCCTACTGGTGATGGACAGCCATCCCTTGAACCCCCTATGGCTGCTGCTTTTGGTGAGTAGTTCCATTTTGGGTACAAAGCAAGTTTTCTGAAGTTACAAGTTTATTAATCCATGTATATCATCCTTTTTCTTCTTGGATTCTCTCAGAATTTCTAAAGGAAAGAAAAAAGTCTTAGAACAGATTCTGTCCATTAATTAAATCTTAATATTAGTAGATTCTATTAGTTGGCAAAACAAATGAATATCTAAAATTGAGTTAAAAATTTATTTTCTAGCATTAATCTTACACATTCTTTTATAAGCCATACAACCATTTGCTTCAAATTAATAGTCTTACATATTAACATTGCTTTGAATGTGTTGATTTATAGCCACAGAATATTGATGTACGTGCTCTTGAGAGAAATACTTTTTTCAAGTAGTGGTATTTTAAAACAAGGGCCTAAATTAGTACCCTTTATGTAAATGGCATAATTCCATAGAAATCCTCTTCTACTCAAACAGGAGGATTTATTTTATTTTGTTTGGTTTTTTAAATATCAGAACTCCTGTCTACCTTAAATTTGTGTGAAATTGCATTTTTTCATTAATAAAAATACAGCCTTCTGAATTGTCTCTGCAAATACTGCTTTGAAGAGCTTTTTTCTTTTATTTAAAATTAGTTATCAGTATATTTATACTTTTAAGACAAAAAAGGAAGAAGCAGTGGATGGCTCAGTTGGATATATCATTAGGTTAATGTATGATACTTTTTGGTTTTGCAACCCTCAAAAGTGTGGTTTATTATCTAGATAAAGTATTACATTTTATTACCCATTGTGATTGGTTTCCCTTTCCCAAATGACACCATGAAATACTGCTCATTGAGACCTTAAGTGGTATTTAGTCCATCTTAATTTTATAGGTGAGAAAAAGGAATCCTTCACCGAATGTCCAGAATTTTCTGGAAAATAGTTTGTAACTTTATTTTCAAGTAAAAACTTTTTGTTATTTATAACTGGAAAAGCCAGGTGACTAGTTCAGTTCATGTTCCTGCATTGTTAAAGTTTTTGTCTTGGTCTAACCAAATTTTTGTGTTATAATATTTGTTACCAGCCTTTACTTTGCATGTCCAATTTGGCAGAGCCGAAAGGTCTTTGTAATCACAATTTCAGTAATACATAATAGTAATTGAAGCTCTCATTTAAGTTTACCAAAACATGGCTATCAAATGCAGAACTGGACTTATTCCAGTAATGGAATATATACTGTTTTGATATAATGATATATGATATAATGTCATACACGGTGGGAGGAGGAGGTTTTAAAAATATGTTCAAGAATTTTGGTTTCTGAATATAAAATATCAGAATATTAACATCCTTTTTTATTATTTTAATCTCGTTGCAAAGTAATGTCTACATCTTAAGATAACTCATTCATCAACAGAGAATAATAATACTTTTTTGAGTATTATGTGAATGTTTACTCTGCTTCTCACTAATATTTGACATGGTTCACTATTCCCTTCTTTTTTTCTCTTGGCTTCTGCAGTACCACTCTCCTGACTTTTTCCTACCTCATTATCTGTTTTGTTTTGTTTTTTTAAAGGTTCTTTACAGCTCCTAGGGTTAAGTCGTAAGCACTCTGTCCGTTTTTAGTGATATACATTATACCGTTAGAAAAGCTTCTAAAATATGCAAATATATTTCTTAACACCCATGTAGTTATCACCCAGGTTAAGAAATAATATATTTATACATCCTGAAGAAGCGCTCTTTGTATGTTCCCTCCCTCCCTGCCCCAAGATGATCAGTCTAAAGTGATGGTAATCACTTTTGCTTTTCTGCTTTTTCCTTGTGTTTTTCTTACCACGCATTATGCAGCCTTAAGTGCTAATTTAAACATTTTTTCTTCCTTTATTTAGAATTTTATGTAAATGGCATCATGCTCTTCATCTTTTGTGACTTGTGATTCATCCATATTTATATATGTGGCTATTGCTTATTCATTCTCAGTACTGTCAAGTGTATAGATACCCACTGTACGAATATACCACAGTTTGTTTATCCATTCCTCTGTTGATAGACATTTGGGTTGTTTTAGCTTGAGGCTATTATGGACAATGATGCTGTGAGATTTTCTTTATCACCCGTGAGGTTGAACATGTTTTTATTTATAGGCCATTCTCCCTTACGAATTTTCTCTAACTTTGTTGCCATTTTTTTGTGTTTGGTTTCTTGTTTTTTTCTTGTTTTCTTTTTGTGGGAATTTTTTTTTATTTTAAGATTTTATTTATTTATTTGACGGAGAGACACAGTGAGAGAGAGAACACAAGCAGGGGGAGCGGGAGTGGGAGAAGCATGCTTCTTGCCAAGCAGGGAGCCCGATGTGGGGCTCAATCCCAGGACCCTGGGATCCTGACCTGAGCCGAGGGCAGACGCTTAACGACTGAGCCACCCAGGTGCCCCAATTTTTTTTTTTTTAGATTTTATTTATTTATTTGACAGAGAGAGACACAGCGAGAGAGGGAACACAAGCGGGGGGGTGGGAGAGGGAGAAGCAGGCTTCCCGCTGAGCAGGAAGCCCAGTGTGGGGCTTGATCCCAGGACCCCGTGATTATGACCTGAGCCGAAGGCAGACGCTTAACAACTGAGCCACCCAGGTGTCCAGGAATTTTTAAATATATATCCTACCTACTAGTCCTTTGTTGGTTATATGTGTTGCAAATAGTTTCTTCCATTTTTTGGTTTACTGGTTTATTCTTGTCATGGTATTTTTATTTAGTCATATTTGTTTGCCATTTCCTTTATATTTGTGTTTTTTATGTCTTGCTTAAGAAATCCTTTGTTACCAACCATAAGAAATTCTTAATCATAGGAAACAAACAGAGGGTTGCTGGAGGGGAGCGGGGTGGGGGGATGGGGTAACTGGCTGATGGACATTAAAGAGGGCACGTGATGTAATGAGCACTGAGTGTTATATAAGACTGATGAATCACTGACCTCTGCCTCTGAAACCAATAATACATTACATGTTAATTAAAAAATAATAAGTTTTTTTTTTAAAGTTGAAGTTAGTACGTTAGGAACAAGAAAGGTTATAAAAAGGGATAGACACGTATTATTTAATATGCCAAATCACTGCTGAATTCAGAGAAAGGCCTATACATTAAACAAAATCATTAGCTGTTAGCATAGGCCATTGAGCTACAAAGCCAAGGAAAATGTATTTAGTTTAGAAGCCAGAGTTTAGTACCACTGCTTGATAGGGGTTGGGAAGCTGTTACAAATTACCAAGAAACCCACTTTTGCAGGTGACCTGAAAAAATGTGGATTTTTTCCCCCAAAAGGATCTAGGTCTGCTTTTAGTAACCTTGAAAACTGTGTTTGGAACTGAATTAATGAATTCAGTTCAAGACTGAATGAATGAGGGGTGCCTGGGTGGCTCAGTCATTAAGCGCTCCCTTCGGCTCAGGTCATGATCCCAGGGTCTTGGGATCGAGCCCCGCATCGGGCTCCCTGCTCGGCGGGAAGCCTGCTTCTCCCTCTCCCACTCCCCCTGCTTGTGTTCCCTCTCTCGCTGTGTCTCTCTCTGTCAAAAAATAAATAAAATCTATTAAAAAAAAAAAAAAGACTGAATGAATGAATCAGTGACTAAAACCAAGGTTTTTTTTCTTTATCATTATTTTCATTGTTCGGTAGACACAGATTAATGAACTGTAGCTTCATCATTTAACTGGCTGTGTGACTTTGAGCAAGTTGTGGAACCTCTTGGATATCCCAGTTTCTGCATTGGTAAAATGCTGATAATAAAGAAATGTATCTCCTGGGGCGCCTGGGTGGCTCAGTCGTTAAGCGCCTGCCTTCGGCTCAGGTCGTGATGCCAGGGTCCTGGGGTCAAGCCCCGCATTGGGCTCCGTGCTCAGAGCAGAGAGCCTGCTTCTCCCGCTGCCTGCTGCTCCCCCTACTTGTGCTCTCGCTTTCTCTCTCTAGTGCTCTCTCTCTCCCAAATAAACAAAATCTTAAAAAAAAAAAAGTGTCTCCAAAAAAAAAGAAGAAAAAGAAATCCTTTGTTACCCTGACAAAGATATATACTTATATTCTGAAGTTTATAGTATTTTAGTAATTCTGTTTTGAAATAATTTCAGTTGCAAGAATAGTACAAAGAATTCCCTTATAACCAGAATTATCCAGATTCCTCAATTCACATCATCTCACATTTACTTCATTATCTCTCTGATTATATTGAGGGGGTGGGTAGTTATTTTTTCTTTTTCCCCTGAATATTGGAGAGTAAGTTGCAGGCACGATGCCTCTTTACAAAAACTCAGTGTGTATTTTCTAAGAACAAGGATGTTCTTACCTAAACACAGTTCAGTTAATCAAAATCAGGAAATTAGCATTCATACAATACCATTATCTAATCCATAGACCTTTCAAAAATTTCACCTATTGCAAAAGTGGTAATGTTCTTTATAAGAGAATGTTTTCTGGTAAAGATCCAAACCAGTATCAGGTTAATTTATTTGGCATGTCTCTTTAGAGTCCTTTAATTTGGAACATTTCCTCATTCTTTGTCCTTTGTGATCTTTGCATTTGTGAAGATTTCAGGTTGGGTATTTCAGAATGTCTCTCAATTTGAGTGTCTGGTGTTTTAGCTTAAACAGTGTTGCCTTTTTGTCAGTTGATAAATCAGGAGACACATGATGTCAGTGTATCCATTTCCTGGTGATACTAACTTTGATCACTTAATTAAGGTGGTTTCTGCCAAGTTTCTTCCCAGTACAATTACTGTTTTTCTCTGTTACTAATTTATAGGGTGATACATTGAGACTATATAAATAGACTATTCTTCATCACTTTTCACTCTTTAATTTTATCATCCATTGCCAAAATTTGTTGTTAAACTGTGATGGCTACCTTATTGGAGATTTGTTAATGCCGTCCTTCCTTCGACACTTATTAGCTGGGATTTTATTAAAAGGACTTTTTTCTTATCACCACTTCCTTCCTTCCGTCCTTCATTCATTCATTCATTTTGAATAAATTTAATACATAACATTGTGTGAAT